GACGACACTGGCGATTCAAGACTGCAGGGGTTCTCAGGTCGGCATATGGAATCTGCCTCGATGTGTAAAGGCAGGGGGCACATACACCGATAGGCGTCCAGGTCCGCAGGAACACGCTCTTGTTGTTCTTCATCACCCGCCCTGTGTACTTGACCACCGAGTGGATCGTGAACGCCGGCAGCCCCATGCTTGCGATGCTCTGGAACACGGCCCGCTTGGCCATTACCATGCGGTAGTCCTCGATGAGGGGGATGCGGGTTGTCGGCCAGGGGGCGAGCTCGGCGCCGGCAGCGCTGGGACTGCCCATGTCGCCTGTTGCCATGCCCTTGACGACCTCGTTGGGCGAGAGGTCCTTGGCGTCCTTGTAGGCCTCGCCGGGTGGGGCGAGGGCGTGCCGGTTGCGCAGGTAGGCTTTGTAGCCTTCGTGGGCGACATCGCCGAGCAGATAGGTCCAGGAGATGCCGTAGGCGGTGCGCACGAGGTAGGGGTGTGCGACGGGGCGGAAGGACTCGCCTATGTCGGAGGTGTAGGCGACGTAGCGGTGGGCGGAGAGGAGGATGGTGCGGATGCGGTTGGCGTAACCGGCGTATCGGTAGGGGGTGTCGGTGGAATCGACGGAGCTGTCCATGTTAGTTGATGGGTTTGTCACTGCGTTGCGGACTTGTGGTGGTGAGGTTGTGGGTTGGAATGGTGGTGAGTTTGGTGGGGGGAAAATCCAGCATTCTTGAATGTATGCGGGGACTGGCGGAGATGATGATGCCATAGTTTGGGCATGGTAAACTTGGACGCGCGACAGTGGACGGCCACTTTGAAGCAGTAGCGACAGGATGCGCCAGGATAAAACATACTATGGGGAGTAGATATCATCGTAGAAGCCATCATCCTGGTCAACTATCTTCTGAAGTTGAGAAGGAAGTTTCTCGCGGGGGATCGGTTGCTGCGGTGTGTCTGCGGGAGTCTCATCGTGATGCTTCCTCCAGAACATGCTTTGAACTTGGCCGAAAAAGAAAAAGCGTGACTTGACAAGGAGTGAAGGTCTGGAATGAAGGGTATATGTGCTCTGTATGTACAGTGATAGAGGTACGTAACCGTAAGAGAGAAGCTACAAGCTACAACAACAGAGCACAGTAAAGTTGAAAAAAAGGATACATCGATTGATAGAAAGCCAGGGACGTGCTCCGGAAGAATAATATCCTCTCATCCATTTCTTTTCCTCTGATTTGTCCTCCCCAGTAACCGCACGGCACCCGAAGAGCTGCACAGCTCGCAGTAGCCGGGGTAGTATTGAGGACGGAGTAATTCATCTCAGCGTGGAGGCATCTTTGCCCCGAGGTTCTTCGGGTGCTTCCTTTGGTCCCGTGCCTGCACTGCCACTCTGGGTCCTCACAACAAAGATTCATGTCGAGCAGTATTGTTTTTGTAGTGATGACTCTAGCAATGAAATTAGAGCATCTACTTCGGCTGACATCCTGTAATCAACTGATCACCTGCGGTTGTTGGCCGTTTGTGCTGTCAAAGTATTGTGATGCGGTGCTGCGGAACTTCCCGAATCCGTCTTCTGATTCGGACCGAGCCGGAACATCACATGATCCCAAGCAAATCCATTATGTCATGCATTTCCCACGTGATATCACGGGACCTCAAACCATCCGGATCAGTCAGCAGCTCCTCTAACCCAATGAGGAAAAGGCCGAGCCGCGCTGTCAACTTCCATCGCTGCCGGCTTTGACGATTGCTTCCGCAGGTCCTATTATTCGCATCGCTCCATTCGCCGCGTCTATCCCTCCTCTGTCAAATCTACCTCCAATCCATCACCATGGTCGTCTACTACCAGATTGCCGGCAAGCAGGTCGGCTCCCACGTCGTATGTTCCCCCGGTCTCCCCTGCCATGTCTTCGTTTATGCTACGACAGCCGAACTGGATTCAAGTCCCTGATGGCATTGCTATGGCATATCACTGATTCTGATTAATCAATTCAGCTCGCCATGGGCGTCATGGGAACCCTGTTCGGTGGTATTTTCCTCTCGACTCGCGGTGGTGGTCAGAAGAAGCAGGCCACTCCTCCCATTCAGGCCTCTTCCAAGGACGAGGAGAAGTTCATCCAGTATGTTTCCACTCATAATCATACACATATTTGGTCTATCCTTGTGCTCCATTGACCTCTAATGACCTCCAATTGCATACCAACTCTGCACATTTGGAGTTACTGGCACGGCAAGCTGCTTTCAGTGAGGGCTAACCGCGCGGTCACCATAGGGACTTCTTGAACCAAGTAAACGGGGAGCAAAAGAAATCGGATCATTAGAGCGTCTCCCTTGAACGATAGGGACTCACTCGAGGACAACTGCTGATGCACGATGAAAAGGAAACTGAACGCGAGATATATCCATCATGAAAACGATCCTATAATTGGATGAATGCTTGCGATAATTAGACGAGATCCCTTCAGTCGTGTGTGTGTCAGGATTCGCTGGTGATGAGGCTCAATGGCTGTGCCAGTGGTGCTGATGGTCTGTACATAATAGAGGTATACGCCATTTGAGGTTGTTCTCTCCAACTTGATACCAGATGACTCGGGCATGAAGATTTGTCTGCGCTTAGGATACCTCAGTTCCAGGTGATCTTAGTCCGTGAGCAGAGTGACTATAGCTTAGAAGGAAGAGTAAATGTAAAGCGGCTTCGTAGCATGCAGCAAACATACGAGCAAACATACGAGCAAGCACATGAGTATATCATTGGCGTGTACTGAGTAGCGATTAGACAGTATTCGCCAAAGCTTTACCTGTCGTTCATTTTCCAGTATATCATCATAATTCAGGGTTTCACTATTGCTTCCAAGAAGCCACCAAACTGACAGTCACATGATCTCTAAATAACAAACAGCGTCTCCGAACCCTCAATCGTCCTACAGTGATCCGTCTCCAAAACTCTAGGATGATCAAAAACCACCTATGAGACCAATTCCCTTCCCATACTCCCTAAATATAGGGACGGACATCGTTCATCTCCCCCGAATCCTCCGCCTCATCAACCGTCCCGACTACCTCCACCGCTTTACCCGGCGCATCCTCCACGAACAAGAACAGCAAGACTTCCGCACCAGATTCTCCCTCCTACCGCCATCATCCGGTGCAGAAAAAGCTGAGCCCAGCGCAATAACCCCAGACATGGCGCGCTGGCTGGCAGGCCGCTTCGCCGCAAAAGAGGCAGCACGTAAAGCCGCTCCGGCCGGCGCGGCGTCCCTCGGATGGAAGGATGTTATTGTTAGGGTTGGTGAGGTTGATCAGGGTAGACCGGAGATTGTGTACTTGGATCCTTTGAGTGGAAGCGGGAGTAGTGAAGGCAGAGTAGGCAAATTGTCCATCTCGCATGACGGGGACTATGTGGTTGCTACTGTGCTTGCGGCTGGTTGAAGGTCTATTGGGTTGAGGGTTATTGATGCCTTGGTCCTCTTCGGATGCAATGATGCTGCGGATAGGCTATCTTCGGGATGAGATGGACATTTTCGTGTCTCATGCGAGGAACACGAGGAGCCGTCTGCTGGTGTCCCGGCGCGTGGTTCTGGGATTGTCGAAGGATTCCTCCACGAGACATCCCCTGAGGATTAACGATCCTGATTACTCCTGCTGCGATACGCGAGCACGTTCAGGTTCACACGCGGTCAAGAAAGTCTCTACACTGATTTGGACATGCTCGACCATTCACCAGCACCGAGTTTTTCGACTTGATGGTGGTGAGAGGCCCACCGATCTCTACGAATTTTGATAACCAGCAGGAGTGAGGCTCACTACATGCAACAACCTCTTTGGGCTCTCATGAACGCAATCCAAGCTCAAACTCAGAATGTCATTTCGGCTCGAGTGGGAAAGAAGCTGTGTTCCGGACAATTCCCCACGCATGATGTGATACACTTCGTGTTGTTTCCCTACGCTTTTATACAATGGGAGGCAACCCCTTTTTGTCCAGTTCTGATGAAAGATACGTAGACAGAGTGCTCCCGTCACTGAGTGGCAGATGATGCTTATCCATTCTCCTTTCTGCAAGAGTGCGTCAGAAGGGGTGGAAGTGCCTACCGTTGTGACCTTACGTATCCTGAATGAATGATATGGCATCACCTCCATTGTCCTAAGTAATGGGAGTTCTGGGTATATTGACCACAAAGTCCACAATGACTGGTCTTGTATGATATAGTGTAGATGTAGAATAAGAGAATACTCGAACGCAATGTTGCAAATATTGTGAATATTGCGAAAAAGTTACCAGGTCTGAAGCTGGATAGTGGGTCGGCGGACTTGTTATCTCATTTTTTTCTTCGTCTATTGTTGTTTCAACTTATCCTCAGATGTATCCTTAGCATCATTCGTCGTTGGTCTGTCAAAACAGATCCATTAAGTCTCAATCCTAACATTAATTTGATATCGATATCTTCTTGTATCCTCTCAGCCGAATATCCTAGGGCGGGGCATTTCTCCTTCCCCACGCAGTCTCAGTGCAGCGTTCCATTGGCTGCTTGCGCTGACATCTGCATACTACTTGCTATCAATCATCAACATCCACCTCTAAACTATCTACTGCGTAGTGCCCCAGGTCTTACCATCTCTTCAACCAAGGTTCGTTGTCTGTGTGACCTCTCTTCTATTACAAGCTCAATCTCAAAGACCTGTGCAGTCATGCCGTTCTCACACCACAGCCACTCGGGCCAGTTCTGCCCGGGCCATGCCAAAGACTCACTCGAGGAAATCGTCCAATTGGCCATCTCAAAGAAGTTCAAAGTCTTCTGTCTGACCGAGCACATGCCCCGAGGAAAAGAAGACTTTTATCCGGAGGAGGTACGCCCCAAGTAGACTTTATCCCAAACCACACCACTGACTCATCAGATCGAAGCCGGCGACAACGAAGCCGCCCTGGTCGCCAACGAAGCCGCATACTTCGCAGAGGCCGTCCGGCTGCGCGAGAAATACGCGCACCAGATTCAGATCCTCATCGGGTTCGAGATTGACTGGATCCGTCCCGAGTCGCGGACACTGATCGAGCAGAGCCTCTCGAGGTTCCCATTCGAGTTCTTCATGGGGTCCGTGCATCATACGCTGACCGTCCCAATCGACTATGACCGGCCTATGTATGAAAAGGCTCGTGAGCTGGCAGGCGGCACGGACGAGCGTCTGTTCGAGCACTACTTTGACGAGCAGCTGGATATGCTGACGCAGCTGAAGCCGCTCGTCGTGGGGCACTTTGATCTGATTAAATTGAAGAGCGATGATCCCGAGCGCAGCTTCAAACAGTGGCCTGGGGTGTGGGAGCGGATCCTTCGGAACCTGGAGTTCATCTCTGGGTACGGGGGCATGCTGGAGCTGAACTCGGCTGCGTTGCGGAAGGGGATGAGTGAGCCTTATCCCAAGGAGGAGATTTGCAGAGTGAGCTGGCTTGTCGTTCTCTGAGGCAGGAAGGTGACTGACGGTAGTAGGAATTCCTGGCACGAGGAGGCCGTTTTGTCCTTTCGGATGATAGCCACGGGCTGGACCAGGTTGGCTTGAATTATCACCGAGTGCTGGCGTTCGTGGAGAAGGCTGGTATCTCGACTTTGCATTATCTGGAGCTGGGGGATGGGCCGGCGGTGGACGAGCGGTTTCCGCGGACACAGATCCGGTCGATCCATGTCGATGAGTTGAAGAAGATGTCTTTCTGGCAGGTGGCTAGCTAGACAAGTAGACTGCACACATCTGCAGATACCATCAAACTAATGCACAGTTACCTTACAACAAGGAAGCATCAGCAGGAGCACGCTCGAAACTTGACCTCACTGCTTCATTCAGTCTTATGTATCTGGGATTGCTGGTATACCTCGACAAAGCGCCAGCACGAGGTCAAACGTTAATACCAACTCGCATATCAAACGACCAAACCAAACACTTATTACAGGCGAATACAGAGCATTGAACCTAGATACTTCATTACCACAATGAATCATCCCCCTGAAACGTTACCCTCACGGATCCAACAATCGGCCTCCATATGAAATGATTACATCAAATCCACCCGATATGACCTCAATCTCCCTCCATCCACCTCCACCTCTACACCCTACACTCTCCCCAATCTCAATTTTAAACAGAATACCACCCTTCCTCACATTAATCCCACTTTCTAGGAATACAATGGGCGTCCAAAGAGAAATCCTCCGAATGGGCAACGGCAAAGACCACCCCAAGCCCGGCGACCCGGTCGAACTCAACTACACGGGCTATCTGTACGATGAATCGAACCCGGATCACCATAAAGGGAAGGAGTATGTACAACTCCACTGTAATAGCGTGAAACTCAGAATAAAGAGCTTCGGCGGAAGCTGATTTTCTTCTCTTTACCAGATTCGACAGCTCGAAGAGACAGGGCCCACTGAAAGCGACTATCGGGACGGGCGATGTCATTCGGGGTACGTTTCACACTTTTCCAGTCTTTGATATGGTGGGTCATTTGTTCATGCTGGCTGTAGGCTGGGACGAGGGCGTTCCGCAGATGACTCTTGGGGAGAAGGCTATATTGACGATGAGTGGGTATGGCTTCTACTTCTATCTGTTGTGATGTTGGCTGATTGATGGTGGTAGGGATTATGCGTATGGAGAGAAGTATGTCCCTCATTTGAGTGGAAGGGGAGTTGAAGTGCAGTCTAATGGGTGTACTGTAGGGGCTTTCCGGGGCTGATTCCGCCGAATGCTTCTCTTGTGTTGTGAGTTTCTGACCCTAGTTGGGTTCGATTCGAGATGCTGATGCTGATGCTGACGCTGTTGCTGATGATTAAAGTGAGGTCGAGCTTCTCAAGATTAGAAACCAGTGTATTTGATTAAGTGTTGATCTGGGAGAGGTGATGTCGTGGGTTTGGCACTTTGGCAGGTTTGGCAGGACCGTATGTCTGAGTCTTGTAACTGATAGTCAGATGAGATCTATACTGCTGAATAGATAGAAAAAGGGTTGAAGTTACATTAATGGTACTTTGGTTGACTCTATGGAACATCACACGTAGGTGATCTCGTTTGCAAATGGCTTTGCCAGTTGGCTGCCAGTTGGCTACCAGTTGGCAGGGTACGTGACCAGTTGACGAAAGCCATCATTTTGTCTTGAGTATCTTTCCTCGACATCCATGTCGGCGCTTAGTATCTGTCATGTTGCCCTTATAGATATGGCTTGAGCCTCAATCCAAGACGAGTCTTCTCGGCTGAACTTCAAGCTGACTTTATCGTGCAATACTGTTGATATAATCCATCCCATCCACGTGGTAGTCATCCCGCTCCACATAGCTTCCATTTCTAGGCAAACGAAAGACAAAGTTTGACGCCCTCTTTCCTGGTGTGTACTTGGGCCATTGTGGGATTTGCGGTACTATGCGTGTCAGGCGTTTTCTCATTCAAGTCACGACAGGGACGTACCTCCATGTCCATTGGGATTCAGGTCCGTCACGAAGGACGTCCACATTCGAGCGGCCATGTTGCCCAGTTCAAGACGGGCGGGATCAGTACCGAGCGGTGTAATGCTTTGCACGGGATTTGCAAAGACGAAGGGGATCTGTACGACAAAATGAGCCATGGGTGTCATATGCAAGGTGGTGGCAGCTACCTCTGCAAAATGTCCGACACCAATGGTGCTACTTGTATTTAGGGCTGGCACGTCCCATCGATAAGAGTAGACTTGTTTCGTGTACTTGGCCATGGTCTCCGCAAGCAGCCGTCTTGGTGCGGCCATGGTCAGATCTCCTGCCATCGATTCGTACCGTTTGTACATCAGTCCCAGCTTCGGCCATGTCACGTTTCCCCAGCCGTAGGGACATCCCAGGGCAGGGTCGTTGGGGTAGTACGCGAGAAGCTGCGTGGCTTCTTCGCGGGTGAGCACCCAGCGTTTCGAGGCTGTCGTTGTCAGTCATTAGCCTTCACGAGAGACAGAACAACGCACATATGAGTTGGTTAATGCAGTCTTCATCGGTGTTTGTCCCTGTAGTACCAAAGCTGGTCCCCTCGTCTGTGTTGGATCCAAGGAGAATGGGTACCTTTGCCAGTCGGCCCTCAGTGTAACTAATCTGAGGGTACTCCTTGATAAAGGACCCGTCGACGGCGGCGAACCATTCCAGGCCCTCATATGCCACGTCGTACAAGGACTCGTACGGGGCTTCTCGCAGACACTGGAGTGTATCCGAGGATGTCGAGCAACTACAAATGTCAGCATAAACTCTCCCAGTATCGCGCGATTGAGAATACCCTGTCTTGTTCACGATGCGGTCGTACATCGGCTGATGCCAGTCCGTGCCGTTCCATGGGGGTCCAACAGCGTTACCAGATTCCATGATTGCTACGACCATGTGAGCCTTCTGAAAAGTGGATGCTAGAGTGAGGACGTACCGGCCCGGAAAAGACCCTCATTGTCACCACCATTGGCAACCAAATGAGCTCCAACGCTGTAGGCACCTCTGCTCGAGTCAGCATTGCACAGATCGGAGTGGCGATTTTTCACTCACGCAGATTCTCCCCAGATGGTGATTCTGTCGGGATCACCCCCAAACGCCTTGATGTTCTTCTTGACCCATCGCATGGCGACTCGTTGATCCCGTAGACCCAGATTGTTATTGCCAGTAGCCTGGACCGTCAGCATAGCCTTGAACATTTGTATTGATACATACCCTAACTTCCTCTGAGTCCAGGAATCCAAACGCGGCAACACGATAATTGATCGAGACGCCAAGCACTGGCTTGTCATTCAGAGCTCCTTGATGAAGGATATAGCTCATATTATATCTATCAAGGACACATGTCAGTACGTCCAGTACTGCTGGCCGATAGAACCATACCTCGGATCAGCAGTAGCTCCCTGCTGCCATCCACCTCCGAAAATCCAAATCATCACCGGAAGCAATTCCTCATGATCCGATTTCCGCGAAGGGCGAATGACATTGAGGTTCAGGCAGTCTTCATTCAAGGTGATCAGCCCCAGATTGACCAGCTTCGTCTCGTCCGATCCGTAGCCGGGACATTCGTGCCCGTATTGGGTGGCATTGTACAGCACTGTGCCCTTCGATAAAGCCAGACCAGCCCCGGAGGCGTCATAGGGGCCCGAGTTACTGTCATTGGCAGCATAGGATGTTTTCAAGCTCGACGGTGTAAATCGAACGGGCTGGTCCGCATACTTGATGCCCAGGAACAGTTCCTGATCAAACTCCGGTAGGGAACGGCCTACAAAGACAGTTTTCGAGTCGGAGTGATGGCTTGCACTGAGGGTGGTCGTTGGATAGTCTGCAACGGCACTTTGGATCTGCGAGCTCGGCAGAGCAACGCTCAACGCGCCAAATGCGAGAGACAGCCAGGGAAGAGAGGTGATTCGGTGCGACATGTTGGTCTTGTCCCCGTCGCTGAGAAACCCTGCGCAAGACCAGCTGTGATGCCATTTCTGCGGGAACGAGCCTGTTAAATGTCGTCCCCATGTTGGAGGTTCTCCGCATCTTCATCAATGCTTTGTCAATACTCCGTAGAAATGGAGTAAATCCGGGGAAGTGGATACACATCCGTCTCTTGATGTTGGAGAGTACCAAGGGAAGCAGACGATAGGTGGAAGTATTTGAGAAGAGACGCAGTGACGCTCGCTAGCGTCAACTGGCACTGAGCGGAACTACATCAATTTCTCCGTCTGCAGCACTTTACCCAAAGCTAAATCGGACAGCAACTTGACTGTCTATCTGCAGTACCCATGAGAAGCTTTGATCACAGTTTTGATGCCTTCAGCTTTGTCGACTTGTAAGACTATCATTCATAGTACCGGCGAGAAGACCGATGCAATAATGGAGTGCACGACCCATGGTCGTGTCTGGTTGTCTGAGCCCGCCTTCATCGTTGGAACCAGATAGTTTGGCATTTATAATAAGGACGGCGTTCGAGTGCTCCCCTGCCATCAGCAGCCATGGCTGTCAAAGGTGGTCTGGTGAGACTGTGCCTGTTTTCTCAGATTTCGTTGTTGGGGAGAGTAAGAGGCAGAATGCCAACCCGAGCTTCATGTTTTCTTAGGCGTCTTAAGTTGTTCATTAACTCAAGGAAACATTGCTATCTCTACAGTGTCCAGAAACATTCGGCATAGCCTGTAGAAAGATCTGTACTGCAGAATAGAACGGTGTACGAACAAACGCTGATGAATCTATCTCAAAGTGAATTATCTGAAAATGGGTATGAGCTGCTTCAGCTAAATACATCGGATCGAAGCAAGAAACGAATCAACGGGTATCCCAACACCCTCTAGCAATATGATGAGGAGTCAAATCACGTTGTATATCAGCAGTGCTGTCCTGCGGCGCCATGCTGGTTGTATGAGTACTCCGGATGGCAGAAAGAATGCCGAGCGCCAATTAGATGAGTGATGATCCTGAGACCAGAAAAGACAGAAGCCAGAATTGCGAGACCTAGCAACTATGAACATTGTGCGTGAGGTCAGTCATCCTTCACTCGGTCGCCATAGCCTAGGTTTGATCCACCCGTGCGAGTCCTGCTCGTTCCGGATGATGAAGGACTGGAAAAACGTCCTCTCAATGAGGATGCGTCATGCAGGTTTGATCCCGACCGGCTCAGATCCGGTTTCCGCAAACTCCCTGCCAGAAGGCCAGATGAATTCCTTGACTCCAAGCCATCGTTCAGTTCAATTAAATCTCCCATGCCACGTCTCGTCCCCGCACGGCTATTGCCCTGATACGATTGGGCGCCCTGTTGTAGGTCGCTGAGACCTGCTTTCGCTCGAGTTGTCATTTTTCTCACCCAGCCTTCGACGGCACCCCCTATGTTGTCAAGGCTAGTCGAGGCGGTGGAAGCTGTAGCCGACGCATACTCGGACGGTGTCCTTCCCAGGCTAGGGGGAGCAGGAGCAGGAGCTAAATTTGGCAGATGTTGTGCGACAAATTTACTCAATCCATCGAGAGCTGGTCCTGGAGCCATCGCACTGCGATCGAGCGTTCCGACTCCTGTTCCCACGAGCTGTATATTGCTACGTTGTCGTTGGTGGTGCGGTCTCGGCTTGGCATTAGACATGGTTCGCGACCTTGAAGGGTCTGTGGTGCTTCGATTCTGTGCGGTGAACGCTTGCGATGATGGTGACTCTGTCGGCGAAGACAGAGTTGAGGATAGGGTTGCCGTCCGCTCGCGACCGGATATCGACGAACGAGGTTCGGAGTCTGTGTAAGACAGAGATTTTCGTCGTGTACGGGGGAAGAACCCCAATGCTCTGCGAGGAACGCGGCCGATCTCTACTGGCGCGGGAAACCCATCGATCTGCACCCACGACTGATGCTTCCAGATCCTATCTGCCTCCCCTTCAAGCGGCAATTCCGTAGATGCTTCGCCCTCGGCAGAGGAAGCTCGAGTGCCTGAACTTGGTGCAGGTGCTATGGAGCTTCCACTTAAATCCTCTAGAGAATCCCGATTCGAAACGCTGCCGCTCAGAAGATCAACTTCGGGTTGGGCACGGACCGGCCGTCCTTTCACAGAACAGGAAGCGACCGGCAAGAGCACGGTCTTTCTGCTCTGGATACTATCACTGGGCCAAAACCCATTGGCCTTTCTGAAAATCGCTGGTTGACAACCATACTTGATCGCAACCCCGGTGATGCTGTCGTTGGGCTGAACGTGATGTATATACGCTAAAGCATCCTCGTCCTGCTTTGGATCGATCGCCGAATGGCCCGTTTGATCACAGGAATCTCGCCGTTTGTGCCGAGTGTCGCGATTAGACACCAGACCCGTATCTGCTAGTAGTAGAGCCTCCCGCTTCTTCGCCTGCAACATAGCCTGTCTCTCTTCCTTTGTTCCAGCTCCAATTTCCGATGTGGACGGGGCCGACGGACCCCATGCTGAAGGTATCTTTGGAGTAGCCCTCATGCACGGGTCTGGTCGAGAAGGCTTCCTCGAATGCGTTCGTGCCGTCCCATTAGATTCGGATCGGGCAATATCGCTCCCCAGAAAAGAAGAAGCCAGGCTTTGTAAGGAAGTCCAAGAAACATCTAGGAAATCCACCGCAGCCCGCGAAGAATCGGAGAACTTGGTCTGTGCCTTCCCTGTCTGACCGAGCCCGCCTAGAGGAACACCAAATCCATTGAGATTATCTCGATTAAACGATTCGGTGGCGCGCGAAGGATGCCGCATTGGAAGGGGTGACGCTCCGCGGGATGTGTGGGGTGATGGGGTGGCACCGCGCGAACGGATAGCGGAGGATTCTCCTGAAAGCGTTGTGGTGGAAAGCCCGGTGGACTGCATTGGTCTTCCATAGTCCTCGTCGGTAACATCATCAACCGATATCAAGCGGCGGGTACGTGGTCGGACAGTGGACGTAGATCTACTGCTGGTGTTTGTACTGGCGGCCCCGAGGCTGAAGGTGTCAATAATGCCATTGTTGGAACTCATTCCCGGCGAAAATGAAAGACAATGGACGTCCGCGCTTTGATGGACGTCGCAAGCACTTCCTTAGGAGCTTAACTCAGCATGTGAGATCACCAAGGCATAGATTGCCATCGGAGGTCTCTCTACTTAAGATAGACCATTCGTCATCCAGTCACAGTATCGCAATCGCAGGACCAGGGGCGGATGGGGAAGAACGAGCGACCACGAATATTTTGGATGGTATCTTTCCCTTCGAGATGAGTATTGAAGTCTGCAGGCGTACAGAGTGAGGCAACAGGGGAAGTGTAGAAAGCTGGCCAGATATTGGGGGGTTGGGGGCGCGGGATGCGGCAGGAGTTGGTGGACTCCTTGTGATGACGACCCGCAATGTTCTTAGATGGAGTAAACGAAAGGACTGGACCCAAGGAGCGCCAAGTGTTCAGTTTCAATAAATCGCGGTAGGGTCCTTGCACGGGAAAAGGTCATCAACACTTGAAAGACCTGAAAAGAGTAGACTAGATAGAATAATAGCGAACAGGAACAGAGAGCAACTTTCGTAATCGCTGAGGTTCTTCTTGTGATCGGCAAGTGTCTTGTTGCCGCCTCTCTCCAAGAATCGAGCCACTGCCGTACCCGCTTCATACGTATGTCTGGTAGTATTAGTCTATGGCACCCCCAATACGGCCTGGGCATTATCCACGTCGAGTGCCTATCAGAATGGAAAAAAAGAAAAACAATATCTGTGAATTGAAGTCTGTCCTAATGTCCACCACTATTTTCATTTTCAATGAAATTTTACTCATCTCGTAGTGGAACAAGTCAAGTGTGTGATTTGCCACATCGAGGAACAATGAGGTGATCTCGGTCTCCATACATATCTAGGATCCTTGAATTTTGAGAGAGGGAGATTCTTTCGGTCATCATGCAAGAGCTATCAAAAGTCTATAAACAATGGCATATTATGGCAAAGAGCTTGTGTCGCAAGTATTAGGTAGCCAAAGCCAGCAATCATAGACTGAAAGGACCCGGAAGATATCAGAAATAATATATGACTGCAAGAAACTGTATACCCAAAATCAACGCCATAACCGGTGTGCTGTATACATTGGTATCAAGGACAATAGACGAGCAAATCATCCCAATCACTAAAAGATTGTGTTTATTCAGGCGGCTCGGCCATCTCAGCGGGTCGTGCCTCGACTTCAGATGCTGCATCTGATTCAGCTGTGCTCCACTCTTTCTCCGAACTGGCTTTGCTGGTAGGTTGTGTCTGGGGCTGGGCGGGTTGCGGAATGACCCTGACGCTTCCGGCTCGAGAGAAAAAGTCCTCTGTACGAAGGCCGCGAACTTCAGTCGGATTTACAGATGTCATCTGGAGGCCATCTGCCTTCTTTTGTCGAATCAATTCTCGAACAGGGACCATGGCGGCATCCCGGCAGGCCTCCTTGATATCACTGCCGGACATTCCCGCCATTGCCTTGACCAAGTAATGAAGATCAAAGTTTTCCCGGTCGACCTTGGTATCTTTGAGTATCAAACTGAGAATTCGGAGTCGCTGTGCGGCCGGAGGAAGGGTGACGGGGAACTTCTTCGGCATCCGCCTAAGGATCGCTTCGTCGATATCCTGGATGCGATTCGTGGCTCCGAGAACAACAACCCGCTGCGGTTCACCCAGAGAATTTGCGGAGGTGAGGCCATCCCAGTGCGTCATGAATTCGGCTTTGACCATGCCGCTTGCCTCGTGCTCACCACTCCGCCTTGTGCCGAGAACTGCGTCTATCTCGTCGATGAAGACGATCGAGGGCTGCAGCTTGCGCGCTAACGAGAAGACCGCGTTGACCAGCTTGTTCGAATCACCATACCATTTCTCAGTCAAGGTGGAAATATGTAGATTGATGAAGCACGCGCCGCTCTCATGTGCCAGCGCTTTAGCAAGCATAGTCTTTCCGCACCCTGGTGGGCCATAAAGCAATACTCCCGACGGCGCATTGAGAAGCGATGAAGTGGATGAGTAGAGATGAGGCATGGTCAGAGGATAAATCACGGATTCTTTAAGCTCTTCGATAATATCGTCCAAACCTCCAATATCCTCAAATGAAACACGAATGTCATCGGGAGCGACAACATCCATAGCGATGGCTTGCTCGTATTGGTTGAGGACCAAATCTCCTCTCCTTTGTCGGCGTGCTCTTTTAGCCCCTCTGCGTGGTGAGTCGCCGTCTGATTCATCTCCACCGTCGAGCTTCCGTAGAATGGCAGCAGATTTGCGCCGTTGCTCTTCTTTCTTCTGGCTCTCTGGGTCAAAATCAAGGCGCGATAGAAGGTAACGAATAAGGAAGTATGCGGAGGCCGACTATCAAAAGATAAGTAGAGCTCGTTAAAATGGGCCGAGAGCCATAGAACTCACAGTACCAGCAACCATCACCAGCTCTTGCAGAAACTGCTGCCACCTTGGACCGCGCGCGGAAGCCATGATAACGGGGCCGAGTCAGGAGTAATAGACTATGAGGGAATCTGCAACAAGTAGCCAATTATTGACGTCGAAGACGATCGGTCTCCCGAGTCTAGCAACGGGGATTATGATGACTGATATTTCGGTTGATTATTAGAGTCAACCTCGAAGAGTCCAGGAACGTCGGCTGTCGGCGATATGAAAAGCTGTGGCGCTCACTCACTGAGCCGGGGAACATCGTGGCTTTGCCGACGGGATGTCACATGCCTGAAATCTTCATGTGGTTGTTGCAATGCGGTGAGTGATGTGGAAGGCGGTGAGTCCGACGGTGGACGCGATGTTTTGGTTTGTGTTGTCAAGTTTCATCGGACAAATGTATAGCGATCTTGCGTGCGGTATAATCCTTCCAAGTTTTATCATTGTTTGGTTAAGAGAATATAATTTAAGTATTACCTGACATGCCCAAACGGAAAGCGACTGCCAGGCTTTCTGGTCTGGCGTGCTCGGATGGTGCGGATGCCATGCAGGGCAGTGGCGACGAAGCAGGACAACGCGAAAACGAGCGCCCAGCCAAGAGACCGAGAGGAAGGCCACGATCCAAGTCCGTTGAAAGCAAGCCGCCAGCTCAAACAAAGCGTAATTCGGCAGTGGCGCAAGCACAAGCCCCCGACAGTGCTCCGAAGAAAACGTCGAAAAGGGGACGACCAAAGGGCAGCAGAAACTCGGCGCAAGGCGCAACGCAGGAAGCTCTAGAGAATAAAGGTGGAGATGAGGGAATCAAGGATGAGATCGAAGTCCAAGAACCCGGAAGTGTTGCTGTATCGAACGACGAGCTGGATGATGCTCCAGTTGCCACCAAGCCAAATCAATTGGCAAAACCGGCAAAACCTGCAGCTACACGGGGACGCAGGAAAGTCAGTGCTGGAAAGCAGGTACAGACCGATGGTGAATTTGAGTATACACCGAGGGCTACAAGAAAAGTCCAGTCGCCGGCAAAGCCCCAGGAGCAACCAGAGCAGCCGAAAAGACAATCGCGGCGCATTCAATGGACAGAACCCAGCAGTGTCGCGGCAGAGAAGGAGCAGGAGGAAATGGAAGTTGTTGATGAGACCATTCTACATGAAGAGCCCGTGGTCCCTCGATCAGCGTCAGCATCACCTGTGAAAGGCAAGCGGTCGTCACAGCGCGCACCAGGAAGCTCTCCTCTCAAGAAGAAGCTTGGGGTTTCTACGGATGATAATAAGACGGGTGAACCGGAGTTGAGGCGTAGACTTGGTGATTTGACTAAAAAATATGACACACTGGAAAATCGCTACCGTAACCTCAGAGAGATAGGGATCGTCGAGGCGAATGCCAATATGGACAAGCTTCGACAACATTGCGAAGCAGTGACAACAGGTATGTAGGTCTTCACGTATAATCACACGTCAAAGGCTGATATTTTCAGCTTCCAATAATTTGGTTGCTTCTCTCAAGGCAGAGCTGGAAGCGCAGAAGAAGCTTGGCCAACAAAGCCGAGCGCTCCAGAAACAATTGAAGGAGCGGGATGCGGAAGTCGCTGAATTGAAATCTCAAGCGGCAGAAACCAAGAACCAACTGACTTCGGCTCAGTCGGAGATTAAAGCCTTACAGACCAAGCTGGCGGCTGCCCGTAATACTACTGCAAGTCTCGAAAGCGCTGCCGCGAAAGTTCCTGGAAGCGCAATCAAAAACAACAGGGCAAACCGTGTAGCTGATGCCGAGGCAGCTCAAGCAGCTCATCTCACGCAGTTAAAGGAGGAGCTATACAGTGACCTCACTGGTCTTGTCATTCTTGATGTCAAAAAGAGGGAATCAGATCACCTGTATGACTGCCTTCAGACTGGCGTCAACGGAAGTAAGTCCTATTTCGAAACGGGAGGATTACAAGATGCGTTTCTAACAAGTCGACAGCTCTTCACTTCAAATTGGCCGTCCCGACAATGACATCGACCAATTTCGAAACGGCGGAATTCCAGTATGTCCCATTGTTGGATGAAAATCGCGATCGTGAACTGGTCGAGATTCTTCCCGAGTATCTTACAGTCGATATCACCTTTGTCCGCCAGCAAGCGTCAAAATTTTACGCACGGGTCATCGATGCGCTTACCAAGCGGCGCAATTCAACTAACTAAGTGCTCTGTATTGCTGCTATATCTATTCTTCTTGCATTTCTCAGCCTTGGCCTGGCATCTTTGCCTGTTGCATAGGTATCTTGAGCTAATTTAGGTGTCTGGTCGAGCATGGTAGGATTCCTTGGTGACATTTTATAATCTACGTGGACCAAAGCATGTTGGAATTCTCGTATTCTTTTTGTAATGCATGTCTCTCATGTCTTTACTCCGATGAGAGTACCCCTGGTAGTCCTTCAAATAATGGGATAGATAGTCCGTCAGGGGCTGCGTCATGGGCTCTGCGGGCCACCGTAACCGCAGCATGCCGCATTGGGCAACCCCAATTGGTTGCAGGCATCCCCAAGTTCCCCAAAGCTGTCATGAAAAAGCGACAGTCCATGTCGCAGATGCTTGACAGCTCGCCAGCACCACCCTTTTTC